GTGGGTGGGGTGGACCTGGAGGTCCCCGCCTTCTCCCTCCCCCGCCTTTAATTACCGGGGCCCTTCTGGGCCTGGCGTTGGGTGAACTTCATGGACAACCCTTCGTGGACCACCATGCAGGTGTAGATGTCCCCTGCCTCCCAGCTGCTCTTGGCCACGGCCATCTTGCTGTAGAGGAAGAAGGTGGCCTCCTTGGGACCTTCCTTCAGGGCCGGGGTGGTGACGTAGTCCGTCTTGGGGACCTCCTGGTGGTTCTTCAGCCACTGGACCTGGAGGTCGCCGGGTTGGAAGCCTTGGATGAGGCAGGTGAGGGTGAGCTTGGCTTGGGTCATCTCGTCGGGGTGGGGCGGGAGGACGAAGACCTCGGGTGGGGTGACCTTGCCTGAGGGGAGGAGAAAGGTCGGGAGGAGAAGAAGGTCTGGAGGAGAAGGTCTGGAGGAGCAGGAGATCTGGAGGAGGTGGAAGATCTGGAGGAGGGAGAAGATCTGGAGAAGGTGGAAGATCTGGAGGAGCAGAAGATCTGGAGGGGGTGGAGGTCTGGAGGAGAAGAAGGTCTGGAGGAGAAGGTCTGGAGGAGCAGGAGATCTGGAGGAGGTGGAAGATCTGGAGGAGGGAGAAGATCTGGAGAAGGTGGAAGATCTGGAGGAGCAGAAGATCTGGAGGGGGTGGAGGTCTGGAGGAGAAGAAGGTCTGGAGGAGAAGGTCTGGAGGAGCAGGAGTCCCACCAGTGGTGAGGGGCAGGTCATGGGAGGGAGCTGGAGGAGACAGAAGGTCTGGAAGAGGTGGAAGGTTTGGAGGAGTAGAAGATCTGGAGGAGGAAAAGGTCTGGAGGAGAAGGTCTGGAGGAGGTGGAAGATCTTGAGGAGGTAGAAGATTTGGAGGAGGTGGACCTTTTGGAGGAGTAGAAGGTCCAGAGGAGGTGCAGGTCTTGAGGAGCAGAAGATCTGGAGGAGGTGGAAGATCTGGAGAAGGTGGAAGGTTTGGAGGAGCAGAAGACTTGGAGGAGCAGAAGATCTGGAGAAGGCAGAAGTTTTGGAGGAGTAGAAGGTCTGGAGAAGGTCAAAGATCTGGAGGAGCAGAAGATCTGGAGAAGGTAGAAGGTTTGGAGGAGGACAAGGTTTGAAGGACGTAGAAGATCTGGAGAAGGTGGAAGATCTGGGGAGCAGAAGGTCTGGAGAAGGTAGAAGACCTGGAGGACATAGAAGATCTGGAGAAGGCAGGAGCTTTGGAGGAGCAGAAGCTCTTGAGGAGCAGAAGATCTGGAGAAGGTAGAAGATGTGGATGACTAGAAGATCTGGAGAAGGTAGAAGGTTTGGAGAAGGTGAAGGTCTGGAGAACATAGAAGCTCTGGAGAAGGTAGAAGATCTGGAGGAGACAGAAGGTCTGGAGGAGGTGGAAGGTTTGGAGGAGCAGGAGATCTTGAGGAGCAGAAGATCTGGAGAAGGTAGAAGATGTGGAGGACTAGAAGATCTGGAGGAGGTCAAAGATCTGGAGGAGGTGGAAGATCTGGGAGAAGGCAGAAGGTTTGGAGGAGCAGAAGGCCTGGAGAAGGTCGAAGGTCTGGAGGAAGTAGAAGATCTGGAGAAGGTAGAAGGTTTGGAGGAGGTGGAAGGTCTGGAGAACATCAAAGATCTGGAGAAGGTGGAAAGTGTGGAGAAGGTGGAAGCTCTTGAGGAGCAGAAGATCTGGAGAAGGTAGAAGGTCTGGAGGAGCAGAAGGCCTGGCCAGAAGGTGGGGACGGCCGGCAGGAGAAGACACTCACCGGCCAGCCTGACCACGCTCCTGTTGAGGGGCACCTGGAGCTCCTCGTGCTTGACCGAGCAGGTGAACCTTTCTCCAGCCTCCCACTCCTGGGTGGAGATGACCAAGGCGCTGGTGGCCGTGAAGGTCCCGTTGAACTGCTCGCGGAGGTCCAAGAAGTCCGGGCTGAGGACACCCGGGGTCTCCTTGCTCCAGGAGAGCTGGAACCCGGAGTCGCTGGGCAGGTTGGTGGCCATGCAGAGGACCTTTGGCCGCCGGGTCAGGTAGAGGTCGGCCGCGGTGGGAGGGAGGACGTAGAGGACAATGTTGCTGGGGTTGGGGATGGACAGGCCTGTAGGGGGCAGTGCGGGACCCGCCGGGGTCAGGTGATCTTCTCCAGGGATGGAGCCCACCACGGTCACACGACCTTCTCCATGGGTGAAGACCACCATGGCCACCCAACCTTCTCCATGGATGAAGCCCATCATGGTCACCCAACATTCTCCATGGATGAAGCCCACCATGACCAACCATGGATGGAGCCCACCACCATCACCCAACCTTCTCCATGGATGGAGCCTACCATGGCCACCCAACCTTCTCCACGGGTGAAGACCATCATGGCCACCCAACGTTCTCCATGGGTGAAGCCCACCATGGCCACCCAACGTTCTAAATGGATGGAGCCCACCATGGTCACCCGACCTTCTCCATGGATAAAGCCCACCATGGCCACCCAACGTTCTCCATGGATGGAGCCCACCACGATCACTCAACCTTCTCCATGGATGGAGCCTACCATGGTCACCCAACCTTCTCCACGGATGAAGACCATCATGGCCACTCACCGTTCTCCATGAGTGAAGACCACCATGGCCACCCAACCTTCTCCATGGATAGAGTCTATCACGATCACCCAATGTTCTCCATGGGTGAAGACCATCACGGTCCTTCAACCTTCACTGGTGCCACCTACCCTGGTCACTCAACGTTCTCCATGGGTGAAGTCCATCATGGTCACCCAACCTTCACTGGTGCCACCTACCCTGGTCATCCAAAGTTCTCCAGGGATGGAGCCCACCATGGTCACCCAACGTTCTCCACGGGTGAAGGCCACCATGGCCACCCAACCTTCTCCATGGATGGAGCCCACCACGATCACCCAACCTTCTCCATGGGTGAAGCCCACGATGATCACCCAACCTTCTCCATGGATGGAGCCCACCACGATCACCCAACCTTCTCCATGGGTGAAGCCCACGATGATCCCCCAAGATTCTCCATGGATGGAGCCCACCATGACCAGCCATGGATGGAGCCCACCACGATCACCCAATGTTCTCCATGGGTGAAGCCCACCACGATTACCCAACCTTCTCCATGGGTGAAGACCATCACGATCCTTCAACCTTCACTGGTGCCACCTACCCTGGTCATCCAAAGTTCTCCAGGGATGGAGCCCACCACGATCATCCAACCTTCTCCATGGATGAAGCCCACCACGATCACCCAACGTTCTCCATGGATGGAGCCCACCACGATCTCCCAACCTTCTCCATGGATGAAGCCCACCACCACCACCCCACCTCCCCCACCCCACCGCGATGTCCTCACCGGAGCAGAGCCGGGCGTGGTCCTGCACCACGGCGCCGGTGGCCGGGTGGGTCACCTGACAGGTGAAGGTCCTCCCCTCCAACCAATCCGCTCGGCTGACGTTGGTCCTGCTGGTGGCCGAGAAGGTGGTGGCCCCATCTTCACGTCTCGGCCAGGTCCTGGTGGCCGGGAAGAGGCCGGGGACGCCGTCCACCAACCACTCGATGTCCACCGTGGCCGGGGGGAAGCCGGAGA